TTTGGGTTGTTCTGAGATTTTGGCTTTAATTATTTCAGCTTTTACGGAATGATTAAGACAATTGCAATGTTGCTTTGCTCGTGATGACCATAGAAAAGACGGCATTTATCATATTATATTTGTAAAAGTAAAGAAATAACAAAAACTTTTTTTTTGTGAATAGAAGCCACAGCTTGAATTAATTTTATTAGGTCTCTAACCATAAAATTAAAAATAATCTCTCCCCGGCGGGGAATCGAACCCCGGTCTCCCGCGTGACAGGCGGGGATACTCACCACTATACTACCGAGGATGGTTATTGCAACACTACAGTTTAAAATTATTCTTATGTTTATATACAAAGCGCTAGCTATCGAAGTAGGAGATATAGGTTCGATACGAGCTCTGGGCATATTTTCGCGTCACGGTTGGGAAGAAGGCGTGAACTTTCCTAAAATTAAATGTTGTTTTTCTTTGTCTTTTGTGAATACTTTACATCGTAGTTGAGAGAAGTAAAAGTAAAATATGTTATACAAAAGCTAAAAAGACAAGTTAAATCGGGAAACATCTACTAAGTGGAAGTAACATTTAACAACTTGAGCGTTTTGTTGCTTTTTTTTAAAAAAAAAGTGAAATTTTTAAATTGTCTTTAAAAATGCGATAAAAAGATGTGCATTTTTTGCTTGTGGGTCTTTATTATTTTATATTTTTTGTTGAAATATTTAAAGAATACACAAATACGACAATAAAACTCATATTTTTGAAACAAAAAATAATTTTTATAAAACTATATAATAACTATGAGTTTATTGCAAAAATTTTCCGGAAATTTAAACCCTAGGTATAATATTGAAATTTTAACCCTAGGTATAATATTGAAATTTCAATCCTAGGTATAATATTAAAATTTCAACTCTAGATATAATATTAAAATTTCAACCCTAGGTATAATATTGAAATTTCAACCCTAGGTATAATATTAAAGTTTCAACCCTAGGTATAATATTGAAGTTAACTATAACATAATGGCAACTTAGAATTCTATAGCTTCATATTGTATCTTTTTTTAGTTATCTTTTTTTTTTTAGGCTTAGATAAAATAAAAAGATATAACCACAACCAAAAAAAGAAAAAGTTTGTTCTTCATGAATAGATCTGATTATTTATCAGAAAACGTAAGTTAAATTATTATTTCATTCTTTTTTTCTTGATATGATTTGTAATAAGTTATTTACGATATGCAAGCCTATAATGCTGCTATATTATCTGTCTATATTATCGTTAAAAAATTTTTTGTAAATTTTTTATTTTTTATTTTGATCTTGTTATTTTTGTATTATTGCAAAAGCTAACTTTTTTTTTTTACTACCTGAAGTATTTAACATGACACGCAATTTACAGCGGTTCTCGATAACAAGACCTTACAACCTTCTACGAGTTTCTGTAAATGTATAATAAAAAATCTTTATTTGAATTTGTTTATATTATTATAATTTAGCTTGTAAGTTTTATGAAATATTAACAAATGTAATAAAGAAAAGAAAAAAAAAAGGATCAAGTTAGTGTACAAATCAGTGATTTCAAAAAAAATGCAACTAAAAATAAAATTAATAGGAGAAACTCTAAGTAAAACATTTTTTAAACCTACTAATTTTTATGAATTTTTTTCATAATTTCTTCAAAATGATCATTCAATAACGTTTGTAGATATCAAAAACTTTATTTTTTTTACCGGCTGCATAATAATAGAATTAAAAACATTAGATATAAAAAAATTAACAAATGTATATATATATATATATATATATATAAATATATATATATATATATATATATATATATATATATATATATATATATATATATATATATATATATATATATGTATATATATATATATATATATATATATATATATATATATATATATATATATATATATATATATATATATATATATATATATATATATATATATATATATATATATATATATATAAACAAACTTACCAAACATGTTTTGGTGAACTTATCAGGTAAAGTCGTGTTAATAAAGCAAGAAAGGTTACAAGAAGCAGACCATTGTGAACGTTTTTTGTATAACGTTCATCTTTCTTATGACTAGTTTTGTTTGTTAAAATGTTTAAAGTGCTATGAGCAAGATCTTTTAATTTTATTGTTTTAAGAGTTATATAAAAGTATCTAGTAACTTCTTCAACTTTCAATACAGTTGAGTTTATACTTTTTCTATCATCTAATTCACTAACGACTTGAGTTGTCGCGTTTTCTTTAACTTTTGCAAATGCATTTTGAGGAACTCTTTTACGTGCAACCATGTCTTAAAATTAAGGTAAAAAAGAAAATAAATAAATTAGGAAAAGTTAACTTTCAACGCGTTTAATTTTCTTTATTGTTTATTTAATAAATATTTTGTTCTTTTCGTGTGTTGTAACGTAATAGCCATTGTTGAAAAGAAGTTAATGTAACTATAGAAACCGTTTTTTTTTGGCTATATAAAAAATTTAAATATTTTTGTAACAAAAAATATTCTTCTAAATATTCAGGGTAATCAAAAAACATAAATACTGTAATGCTTTATAAAATTGTTTTATTCAAATGCCAAATCAACTAAAAAATAATAAATGTATAAGAATATGAATAATAATAAATGATAATAAAAATATATATGTAATAAATGATTATATATATATATATATATATATATATATATATATATATATATATATATATATATATATATATATATATATATATATATATATATATATATATATATATATATATATATATATATATATGTATATATATATATATATAAATTATAACAAAATATGATAATAAAAATAATAAATGATAAATGTATAAAATTTTTACTTTTACAATCTTACTGTAAAATATAAAAGTTTCTACGTTAATTTTCAGATCTTTTATCTTATCATTTGATACAAACTTTTAAGATCTACCTACCTAGCTACCTACCTAGCTACCTAGGGGTCATCCAAACATTACGTACACCCAAAGTTTTATAAATTGACTCCAATTCCGCTCCTGAAAAGAGTACTTTTAACCCTTCCCTGCCTTACTTTTAATGTCTTTAAAGATTATATATTTTTTGAAGCCTATAAAGCTTATATTTATTTTAAAGCATTTATATTTACTATATTAATTTTATAAATCCTGCTTCTACAAACTAGACTCTACTTTAAGCTTGGTTTCCCATAGTTCTAGAAATATCGTACAACAATGTTTATAATGGAAACATTTTTTGCGTAAAGTTTTTTTGTTGAGTAAGCACAACTTAACGTCGGTCACAGCAATTTGTTTTCTGGTATTTAATAGTAGTTAATGGAAGTGGAATTCCATTGCAGTTGTTTTTTTTCGCTCTGCTTACTAAAAAGAAAAACTCATTAAAATTATACTAAATTTTTACAAAATTTTATAGGATTAGTGTTATTTTTCAACGAGTTATTACAACTTATAAACAGCAGACACTAGGGGTTTTTTCTTGTATCTTAAAAAAACTTACGACAAAATGAGGTCAAAAATATATCCATAATTTTTTTTGCCTGAAAGAATTTTTGGTGGATTTTGAATTAAAAATTAATTTTTGGTGGAATTTCCAGGGTATAATAATAAAAGGACAAATAACAACTTGAACCTAAAACCAAAGTTGGATATTAATTCTACTCTTAGTTATAATGCATCTATAACAACGTGCTTATTTTTCCCCCACAAAATTGATCTAAAAAAAGGTTCTAGTAGATGTAATTGTTTGATTGAGGCTCAAATGCAGTCGCAGCCATTCTTAAACTTTTAGGAAAATTTCAAAACGTTTTGTCGATAACAACTTAGAAGTTTAGGGAAACGGTGATCACAAAAGTAAATTTTTCAATTTTTCAAAAAATCGAAATAAAGATAAAAATTAAAAGATCTAATTATTAAAAAATAAATTAGTCTATAATTGATTATACTGCCAATTAGGCTAAAAAAATTTGCTTTATTAAATTAATTCGAATTTCAAAAAGTACTTCTAGAAAAATGCCCCCTAGAAACCATTACTATATAAGTTACTTATATACAATCTTACTTTACTTATATTAAATTTATAAATACTTATATTAAATTTATAAAGAAAATTTAAATTTTCTATTGTTTCACTAGATGCAATTCGACTCAATCCATTGACAAAAAAAGCTACAGCTGCTGAAGTAAAAGACGTAGTGAAGGAATGGCTTCAAAAAGCAAAAGATAGGATTTAAGGTCGCGCAAAGCGGAAAAGATTAGAGTTGAGCGACGAACTTGCAAATAATGTAGAAGACGAATAAAAATAATTTGCCACAATTGCAATATTGCAAAAAAATATTACCTTGGCTATATGAATATTTTTTTAATTCCAATTTTTAATAGTATTTAATAAATATATTTTTCGAAATTGCAATTACTTCAAGCTGGAGTACCTTCTTTAGACCATAAAAACATTATGGGAAAAATATAAAAACTTCAGGTATTTCCGATTCTATCTTATTTGGACTTATATTTATCATATATTATCATTAAAAAGTAAAAATTTTAAAAGGTCACACAATAAATATTTGAAACGTTAACGCACAAAAACTTTTATGAATGTATTGTTAATAAGGATAAGTTGTATAAATAATTTTAACTTAAATTTTTAAGGTTGTTTTTAGGGCATTAGAAAAACAACTAAAACAATAAGCGGTTTTCAATAATTAGTAGCTATTAACTGAAAAACGGATTTAAATATAAATAACAATGTTATGTTGTTACAGCACCTTTTATCAGGATTTATTTAATAAACAGAAGCAAAAGAAGAAAACTATTTTTACGGGTGGTGACTAGTTGGCGGGGCAGGTGTTAACAATTCTCCCCCCCCCCCCACTCACCCAAAAAAACAAGATTTTATTATGCCCCTTTTGACTACTACTAAATATTATACTTTTACTGCTGAACCAAATTAATTATACTAATAAACAAACATATTACCAAATAGATTAATTTAAAAAAATGATAACAAATTACAACGTATATTCTTTCTTTGTTCTAAAACATTTCACTTTGGCATTTAGCTAGAATATGAGCATTTCTTTTCTTGACGTTAATAAATTTTCTTCTAGCATCAGAAGTCATTTTCACTGCTCTTTCAACCGTTTGCGAGTGGCACGAAAAGTTGGGAGCCTTTCCCTGATTCGGAATTATATTCAAAAGCTCCTCATTTGATATATCTTCCACACAAGGGGGCTCACAACAGTCTATATCATACAAATTTATTAATTTTGACCAGTTTTTACATCTACAATAAATAACTGGAATGGCATTAACCCTAATACCATCTTTTAATCCATTTTTAGGATCCTTAATTAGGGTTTTTATTGTTTCCAAAATCTTAACAACAGCAATTGTTCTATAAACATATTCTTCAGAATAAAGTAGAGCAGCAATAAAATTTTTAGGTTGGAGACAAAAAGAGTTTCTATAAATTATGGGCAATGTAATATTTTGAACTTCAGTATCCAACCTCAAAATCCGCTGAATAAATTGGAAAATGAGTTTAGGACCCTCTGTGAAACTCTTAGACTTTTTGATATTAAACCACATAGGGGTATATACTGTTTGAATATATTCAACAAAGATTTTGAGCTCTCTACTGAGATTGATTGTTCTTGTGAATAGTGCCAAGATCCGTATTGCTGTTGTCAGCCACCTTGCATGACAAATAGGGCCTAAAAATATAATCTTTTAAATATAAAAATTAATTAATAGTATAATTTAATAGTAAATTATATTTTAATAAATATATATTTACATAAACTTCAAACAAACAAAAGAAAAAATATTAGGAACAAATGATTTACAAAACAACACACCTATTTTTTTTTCTCAGATACTTATTGTCTGAAAACCCTCTAGAAATTTCAGTACTATATCCAGTAGCATTCTCTGGTCAGCAGAGAGGTCTTTAATAACACACGGAGGAGGATATTCAACGTCTGTCTCAACTTGTATGAAGTCAACAGTTAAATTTAAATGAATTGGACTTGTCAAAGATTTTCCAACTGGTCCTTTAAAATATTTTTATTATTATTATTATTTGATCAAGTATATTAATATTAATAGTTATAACTTTTTACTCAAAAGAATAATTTATATTTTTAATAATGTAGCTAAATAATAGTCGGGTAATTTAAATAATAATATTGTCACCAAGAATGTAAAATATTATTTAGATTACCCGAATAATTGTTTGAGTTATTAGAAGAACCATCAAGTTTAGAAACTAAATGACGCAATGGTAACTCGTTAACATGTAGAAGACAGCCAATTAAATGAATTCTTTTTTTCAATATTCTTTCAAGACAAGCAACTAAACCATTATCTTTACCTAAAATGATATAGTAATATGAAAATATATAACTCAAATAAAGATTTATATATTATCTTTTTTTATTTTTCAGACAGGCATGAAGAAAAAATAGAAAGAAAAATTTGAAGAAAAAATATACCTGTATTAACACTTGTATTGTCCAAAATTATTGCCTGGATACTCATGTCACTCTTAAACTCCTTGAGAACATTACAGGTAAATTCAGCAAGATCTTTTCCTTTACCTTTTTTTTTAGGTACATCTATGTGCTTTAGATATGATTTTGCAACTTGCTTTATTCAAATTAAAACATTTTTATTAGTAAAAAATAAAATTAAAAAAAAAAATACCAAGACAAAAGAGATAACATTGGCCTTTACCTGATTCAATTGTGAATGCCAAGCTGTCTACAGTGCTGGTAGATTTACAAAGTTTTATTTCACCGTAAATATCTCTCTGTTCATAAACCAATGAGTTTTTATTACGTTTGCTATCCAAACCAATTGCCTTTATATTTGAAACTTTAGATTGCTCAAAACTAGCATTAAAGCATACTCGTTCTTTCTCTCTCTTCATTTTACTTAGGACAATTACATCATTGAGATGTAGATAACCAATATCTTGAAGTAGAGCATTAGCTACAGCGGCAGCTGCTTCACCTGATATTCCATATTTAATTACCTCTAAAGCAAATTTGGGATAGTGGGTAGTGTTATAGTACTTTGATCTAGTTTGATTCAATGATAAAATTAAAGTTTCACTCTGTAATTATAGAAAAGAATACAACAAAACTTCCAGAAATTAAAAATCATAACAATGAAAATTTTACATTTAATTGTATTAACATTTAAGATGCTCTAATTAATTAAAGCATTATAAGAAATAACATTATTATAAAATCTTAAAAGTTTAACAATCAAACTCTTTTCAGGTACCGTAAGATTGGGTGGCTTTGGCCCATTTTGCATCTTAATGTCTATTGCATGAAAGCCACAAAAGTTATTTCCTCAAACACTAAGTACTTTTAGAAGCGCATAGAAAGGACAGTTAGAACTATCTGTCTCCCATTTGAAAATTATTTACCTGAAGTATCTTTTGGGTGGTTTAAATGGTGGGCCAAAGTCACCCTATGTGTTAGGGTGACTTTGGCCCAACCCTGTAAAAAGGAACTAAAGGAAGCGAAACTACAATAAAAACAGCAATATTTAGGCAAAGAAAATAAATTTACAAAAATAAAGTGACAAAAAAAGATTTAGTAACAAAGTTCTTGTGTACAGAGAAATAAAATATAGGTACAAACTAAACAAGTATAGGTACCAAGTAAACAAAACAGTTTAGGTATAAAGTAAACAAAAATGAAAAAAATGTTTTAAAAAATTTAGTAAAAAAGTTCTGGAACTGAATAAATTCCTTTTTTCGAAATTTTCTTTGGTTCCTCAATAAAATCGACTATTTCAGACTGGGGAAAAAAAAGTTGCTCTGCTGGTAGTGACCATTTCCAGTTAAGTCCATTTTTTTCAAAATAGTAATTTCTACTGCATTTTTTCTTAATTTTTTCAACTGCAGAAAAAAAAATTTAGAAAGTTTTTTTAAAATTTTTCAGTAGTTTCATTAAATAATATTAGTTATTAAATCAATTAGTTATAAAGTTTACTAATTGATTAGCTAAATATAAATAACTCAAAATAAATAAACAAACCTGTCCAGGATTTAACTCTCCATTGCATTTAACAATTACATAACAATTCTCTACAAGATTTAATAATTTCTTCTTTTTACAAACATTTTTTGTTTTACCAATATTTTGAAAGTTGTTATTTTTGCCTTATGCTGAATGATCTAAAGATTTTGTATGACTTTCTACAACTAAACTTACATCTGCAAAAATTAGATTAGAAGTCTCAGTAGTTCCAGTATTTGTACTTGGGCCAGCAAAATCAATGTTGTTGGTCTCAATTGTATATATAATACTGATAGGTGTATCTACATTATTTGAATTTAATCTATTATTTTCATTTATAACACACAATGATATATCTGTTGAACATAAGCTTTTACCTGGGACAGCACATACTTTACGTCGCTTTGGGTTTTTAGAACCATCTGAGGGATCATCTAGTGACTTACATAAATGATCTAAAAATGATTGGCTTACTAAATCAGTAGTTGAGTCTAAACCTACATTACAACATGGTAGTCGTGAAAGCACTTGAGACTTGTCTAATGGAAAAATTCCAGTTTTGCGAAAACCAGCTCTAAGGTTATCATTCCCATGTTCATTTAAGTTGGTAATTAAACAGTCTAAAAGTCTAGGAAATTCATCTTTAGGAAGAGAAGCAACTCTCCTTCCAGTTAATCTTTATAGGTCTAAAGTAGGCAACATCTAATGGCTGCGTGAGATGTGTAGAGTTTGCTGGTAATGCCACAAATCCTATGTTATTGCTTTGACATGCATCCAGTACTGCAATGCTCAAATGTGAAGATACGTTATCACCTATAATGAGACTTCTTCCTTGAGCCTTCTTAAGTCTTGGAAGAAGTAAAGAGAAAAACCAGTCCTCAAAACATGTTGTCAAACCAACCACTTTTTGATCTGTTATAACGTGCTTTTGGTGGCCCATGTTCCATCCATGTATTCCATAACGACTCAGCTTTGTAAACAACAAAGGTGGTAGCAATTCACAATTAGCATAACCGCAAAATATTACAGAGAATGAGGTCTTTGTAGAATTAATGATGAGTTCAGGATACTTACATCCACGCTTTGTTAATATTTTTTTTTACCTGGATCATCACTGAGATTGGTTTCATCATAGTTCCATATATTATCAGGTGATTTATTACTTATTTCATTTGATAGATTTATAAAGTAGTTATCAATCACAGTCGTTCCTATTTCTGCTCTCTTTCGCTTTATGTTGCTTGCAAATCTTACTGTGAGTTCTGGATTTCTTTTTAAAAAAGATCGAATCCAATCACCACGTGGAAAATTATTTTTGAACTGAGGTATAATGACGCCTTTTTTTTCTAAATACCCTTTTACTATGCATCTTAAATCATATTTATCAACAGGAAAACCAAACTCAGATGATTTTATTGCATATGCCTTAAACATGTCTTCTTCTTTTGATGTAAATATTTGCTGACCACCATACCTTTTAGGATATGTCTGTTTTATTTTATTTTTTAATGAAGATCTTGGTATATCGTATTTCAAAGCTGCTTGTCTTTGAGTAATTGAACCATTCTTTAAATCTTTTAATGCATTGTTTACCTGTTCTAAAGTATAAGTAACATATTTTCTTCTTCCACGATTTAACTTGTAATTTTGTGGCATATTTAAACTAAGAACTAAACAAGTTTGACTATAATTTTATACTGAAAAATCAGTATAACAGTTTACTAATACAAACTGTTATACTGATTTTCTATTGCATTACTACTACAAAATTTTTCATTCCAACATAGTAACTACCATAACATCTATAAATGATCACTAAAAAATGTTTACTCTAATACATGGTGTGACTTTAGCCCGTGCCAATGTCACCCTATGTAGTGGGCCAAAGACAACCTATTTTTTTTAACCTTAATTACAAAAAAGTAATAAACTGTTAAGCTTTCAAAACAAGATAGAATCAAACACTAATGGTTTAAAATTAATTTAGTGTATATTCCAATAAAAAACCTTAAACAGGTACTGCTATTGATGTAAAAGTTTACACACCTAAAAAAATTCGGATTTTAGGTGCTTCTTCTTAAGTGCAATTTACAAAGAGTCGAGTTAAGTAAACTAAAGGCCGTTTTCCACAAGACGAAATATTCGCGCGAAGCGAATTTTTTCGTCGATAAGCATGCGCAGATTTCTAAGATTAAAACATTTCTCGCAATAATTAAAACATTTCTCGCAATAATTAGCAATAATTGCTAGAAATGTTTTATCTGCGCATGCTTATCGACGAAAAAATTCGCTTCGCGCGAATATTTCGTCTTGTGGAAAACGGCCTTAAGTTACACTAAATAAATAATAAATTTCCCACAATTTGCTACTAAACATCAACCGAGATACCTTAAGGTATCGATTTTAAACCATTTTTATACAAAAATTTCTGTTGGGCTAAAGTCATCCCGTAGGGCCAAAGCCACCCAATTTTACGGTAACAAAACTAATTTGGAATTGCAATTGAACCATACAGTGGTGGATTAAGACTTCTTGGGGCTTGGGGCTATTTTTGTTTTTGGAGGCCTTTTTATGGACCAGAGCCTAAATATGACATCTATATAAAAAAAAAAAAAAAGGTCCTCTAAAATTTTTTGGGGCCCCTAAGTTTGCGGGGCCCGGGGCTATAGTCCCCCCTAGCCCCCTTGATCCGGCACTGGAACCATATTTCTTTTAATCTACATAGCGTTCTTTGAATATTAACATTTTTGTCTTTAATACCATCTAAATCTTTTAATTTGTAGAAAAATCTTGCTACATCACCATAAGTTGCTAGATCTGTAATAGGAAGATCAGAAGGGCTACCACCATATAATTTACACCTTCTAGTTCTTTTTACAGGAGGCATTTTTTTATTATTGTAATAAAAATAAGTTTGATAATATAGTTAATATATATTAAAGATTTTATAACTCCTTAAAAATAACAGTAAAACGCTTTCGCAAGGTTCAATCTACAATTTGATACTCTACTATTTGGTTTGTTTACATTTTTTTAAGGCCGGATGTCATAATAAAATTCCTATTTTTTTATAAGATAATTACTCCAGCTTGAAGTGATAAATTTCCAGAAATTGCTGGTGTCTAATATATTTATGCAATATTTTTTATCTTTTTTTTCTGGAGTCACTAAAAGTTTTGAATAGTAACAAATTGATTTATATGTTGATTTTGTAATTACTCATACTAAGTTTTACTTTAGATTGAATAAGTTAATATTTAGATTTAATATATCTTAGTACAGAGTAGCAAGCCTTCCCAGGAAAGGCGTGCAATTTTTCGTCTCGTTGACCACACGCGAGTATAATATTTTAGACAACTTGAACACGGCCGTTAGCCGAAAAAGTCTCAAAAACAAAAAAACCGTGTTTCTTGTTTTTAAGGGGAGAGTCAACTTAAATTTGTTAGCGAAAAAATAAAAAATAAAACAATTAACTTACGATTACAAAAGTAATAACACTCTAGTTACAACTGCATTACAAAAGTAATAACACTTTAATAGTGTTATAACTTTTATAACGCACTTATAACTTTTAAAATTCATTCTTTGTTCAAGCAACATTAGTATTCCCATATTTTAAATGAAGTAGAAAAAAATCTAGAAGAATAAAGCGGATGTTCAAATAAATAACTTTAAAAACGTGACAAACAACTTTGTAAAAACGTAACGAATTAAAAGCATTATGAAAAACGTTACTAATGGACCGTAAAAACGCGCGTTAATTTTAAAATTATCCAATAAAAATTTTTTATTGGTTGATTTTAAAATTAACGCGCGTTTTTACGTAACCTTTTTTCATAATGCTATACTTTTTATAAAGTACTTCTTTATAACGTCGTTAAGTGATCTGTCAAAGTTCCTAAAGTTTTTAATAATATTTGAATATCCGCTTTATTTTTTCTAGACGCTTTTCTACTTTAATAAATGTTTGGAAATAATAATGTTATTTGAACAAAGAACGAACTTTAAAAGTAATAAGTGCTTTATAAATGTAATAACACTATTATAGTTTTATTACTTTTATAGGCCGTGTGAATAAAAATAAGCAATTGCTTTTACTCAGTAATTGGTCAGCTTTACGTGAAAACAAACTTAACTCAAATTTTTTGTGCTTTTATTCGCGTAAAGCTGACCAATTACTGAGTAAAGGCAATTGCTCATTTTTATTCACCCGGCCTAGTGACTAAAGTATTATTACTTTTGTAGTCGTAAGTTTATTGTTTTTATTTTATTTTTTGTAACTTTCTCGCTAGCAAACTTTTAATAATTTGCTCCTTATAAACTAAGTACACAGCTTTGCATAAACTAAAATTTTAAAAACCTAATATTATACCAGAGTTTGCGAATCGCGATCGTATAATTTTTCAGCAACGCATATAAACTTTCCGTGATCATCTCTAACTTGAAAAACTTGCCGTGATCATCTCTAACTTAAAAAACGTTTTCGTTGTCGTACGAAACGAAAAACCGCACGCCTTTCCTGGGAAGGCTTGGAGTAGTTGAAATCTTATGACTAACGTGTTTTAAACTGTGATAATACTTTATGGGTATGATAGAAAATATAAATTTTTTAAAGAATTTGCATTAAAGTTTTATTTCCAGACTAATATATTAATTCGCTTTTTAGAGTAAGTAAGATATAGTCTAATTAAAAACAATGCTTCATTAAAAATGAAGATGCATAAAGATGACAAATGTCCTGCGATGCAGAAACACCCTAGTTATAACTAATAACATTAAATCTACTGTATAATTGGCAAACTGTATACCGACATGCTTCGAAAGTTGGTGAAATATTTGCTGATAACTATTTTTTATATTTTTATAATTTAATAATTATTTAAATTTTATAAAAAATAGTTAAGATAATAATAGAAAAACAAATAATTAATTTTGTGTTTTTCGATAATTTCCAATTCTATTTTATAATCGCTATGAATAATAGTCGCTTTTGTAATCTCATTTATTGATCAAAATTAAAGCGAGATAATGTCCTTTCACTGATCTCGGCCCGACGTCATTTTACTGATATCAGCCCAATGTCGTTTTACTGATATCGGCTCGACGACATTGGGCTACATCATTCTGATGAGCAAAAACTACATTAGCCTGACGTAGTTAAACTACCATCGGCCGCTGTAAAAGCCCGACGTCAAGCAAACGTGCATATGTTATCTGGAATGTCCCCTTTTTCAAGTTAGCGATTCATATACCAATCACATTGTAAAGGTTTCGTGATAAGATCATTGCGATCTTCATGAAGTCCGGCCCTTACTATTTAATTATAAATTTCATTATATATTTTGACATACGAGACCTTTAATTTACGAAACTTGTAAATGTTATATGTACGACAAAAATGTAAGAATAAAAAAAAAAATCTGTTAAGTTTATTAGACGTGCTATATGCTTCTGTTGCCGTTATAGAGGATCTTTAACATAAATGAGATCTAATTGAATTTTTTTAGCACTACTCCATGCGATATTTGCATATTTTATATGGCATTGCATTAGCAAGTGATAAAGTTGAATTAATGAATGTCTATTTAAAAAATTTTTCGCTTGATACATTACTCCTATATTTTTTGAAACTTTATTGCGCAAAGTTTCAATATGGTTTTTCCACGTTAGATTTTCATCAATGAAAACACCAAGGAAATGTATAACTTTTGATTTTTTTATTTGAACGTTGTCAATATATATTTGAGGCATACCATTTTTGGGATTTTGGATGAAAAAAAGTCCATTTAGTTTTTTCCAAGTTAATTTATAGTTTATTTGACTTGAACCAATTTGAAATTTTAATTAAATCTATGTTGATGTCATTAAATAGTGTAATGATATTTTTACTGGATAGAAAAAGATTTGTATCATGAGCAAACATTTCTGTTTTCAAATTTGAGGTATTGTGCAGGTCATTAACATAAATGAGAAAAAGTATTGGTCCTAGTATAGACCCTTGGGGAACGCTATATGTTATATCTGGTAAACTTGTTGATGAGGATATGTCAATATGCACAAACTGCTTACGATTGCTTAGATAGCTTTTTAGCAAATTTAGGAAATTTCCGCTGATTCCATTGTTTTTAAGTTTTTGTATAAGAATTTCATGATCTATCGTAACAAAGGCTTCTGATTGATTAATAAAAACTCCAAGAATAAACTGTGTTTTCTCAAAAAAATTTCTAGTTATATTTCAAAAATATTTCTAGTTACATGAAGTATTGCGTGTTCCGTGGAATTATCTTTTTTTAAATCCATATTGACTGGCATTTAATATTTTAATTTTAGAAAGATATTTATATATATTTTGTTGTAAAGAATCCTTTCAAAAACCTTTGAAAAACAAGAGAGTACAGATATTGGTCGATAATTAGTTATATTTGATAATTCACCACCTTTATATATTGATGTAACTTAGGCAATCTTTAGTTGGTCAGGAAATATTCCTTGTTTTATATTAAATATTATTAAATATTCCTTATTTTATTGAGCACTTTAAAAAGTATAGTTTTTATGATCTCGTAAGATCCAATAATAATGTTACTATTTATTTCGTCCTGACCTCCCGCTTTTTTTGTTTTTAGCATTTTATAAGCACATTCAAATTCTTTCACTGAAATTTCAAAATTATTAAGTGCAGAAATTTAGGAAGGGTAATATAATTTGTTTTGTTAGTTAAAACTGGAATATTTTTTTCTAGATTAGGACCAACGTTTACAAAACAGTTATTTATCTGATTTGCTATGTCTTTTAGATTACATAAGAAATCAAAATTGTTTCTAATAACTTTTGGTAAGTTTCATGTTTTAATTTTATGATTTCCAGTGATTTCATTTAAAACTTGCCACGTGCGCTTTGAGTTATGTTTAAACTTCTCTAGTAGATTTGATTAGTACTTTTTTTTTAAGTTTTTTCTTTGACTTTTAAAATTTTGAACGTAATTTTTATAAATCACCTTATTTTTATCACTTTTTGACTTTAGATACTTAATATACAACTTTTGTTTAACTTTGTACAATTTTCTAAGTTATTTGATTATCCATGGCGACTTAATTTCTCAAA